CCCCAAAATAGTACTGGTAACTAACTTGGCCCCTTTGGGATATATCATAGACTTACAACAAGGAATCCCCAAAATAGTACTGGTAACTAACTTAGACTTGGCCCCTATCATATACTTATAACAAGGAGCCCCAAAATAGTACTGGTACCTAAACCCTAAACCCTAAACCCTAAACCCTAAACCCTAAACCCTAAACCCTTGGCCTCTAGATTATATGTGCTGCTTGTCCTGAGGGTACAGCTCGCTCCTGCAGTCGAGCTTCGTCAATTCCAGCAATAAAACGGAGGCCTTGGGAGGGTTTAGGGTTTAGGGTTTAGGGTTTAGGGTTTAGGGTTTAGGGAGGTACATGTCGTCTTTCTTGTTTGAAATGCACTTTGCTGAATTTGTGTGTCTTGTTCGGTAGATGTTGTTTTGCACGGCAGCGCTGCCGGTGAATTAGTCCGTTTTGCTTGCGCAACTTCAGCATTTGTTGGTTACCTGTGTGTGTGTGTGCGCGGGTGTGTGTGTGTGTGTGTGCAAATTTGTTACGGTGTCCCGACCGCTCTATACGTATCATGTAGTAATAGAAACAATCATAGGTAGTGAGATAAATAGATAGTTAGATAGATAGAGAGGTAGATCGGTAAATGGATAGATAGATTGATTGATTGAGACTGATTGATTGATAGATTTAGGTAGGTAGGTAGATAGATTAAATAGGTAGATAGATTAAATAGGCAGATAGATAGATAGATAGATAGATAGATAGCTAGATAGATAGATAGATAGATAGATAGACAGATAGATAGATAGATAGATAGGCAGACAGATAGATCACTAGATCTAGACCGATAGATAGATAGGTAGATAGATAGATAGAGAAGTAGATAGATAGATCGGTACATAGATGGATAGATAGATAATGCCGATGTGTAGTGTGCATGTGAGTGGAGTGGAGACCATGCCACTTCCTACCATTCGCGCCACAGGCCGTAGTGGTCTTATCCTTTGTTGGCGCGGACTACAAGCTCCTCACCTTGAATTCACTTCAGCACCGAATTCGCAAGATGTCTGGGGTCTGTGGAGGAACAGGTATCTTGAGTTGTGAGGTCTAAGTTTTGCAGAATATTAGCTCATTACATCTCCTCGTATACAGTCCACACACCTCCTCGTAGACATTCTACACAATATGCATGATAAAGACCAAAGCCTGGATGATGTTGCAGTCTCCGGATCTGAAGCCGCAGTTAACTTCCTTGGAGGCCCAGCAACTTTGAACTTCCAGCCCTAGACTAACTTTGAGTTTACCGAGCTGCAGGTCATGGTACCACTTGGTCTCCCGGCACGGCTCCGAGATGAGCTACGCCAAGAACCATCCGGTTCCTCCTCCTATGGATTTGGGTTTTTTGCATGCGTAAGGTTCCTGGCTTGACGGTTGGAGGTTATTTTTCAGAGCGGGCTTGCCCCAAGTTGGGCGCAGGTACCTCTCCCGATACCCTGAAACCCAGCAGCCCTTGAGGCCGAATTTGACTTCAATCGTCTTCAGGTGCCCTTTGTGGAGACCGACATCGTGGCAGGAACCTCTCCCCCCTATGTGGCCTCAGTCGCCCCTCGCCTTACATCATGCTTCCAACTTTTGGGCTTTGTGTCTGAGCCCTGAACCCTAAACCTTAACCCTGCGCTACAGTTATCAATTCTATATAAATTGTAACATTCAGCGCAAGCTCGTCGAGCCCTTAGAGACACACAGGGCTTTCCCCCAGGGTTGTGGTCACTTGGGCTGCGGGTTCATGGCTCGTTTAGGGCTTGCAGAGGCGATTAAAGGCCAAAGGCCTAAGCTGTCGGTGATCAGACTGTCTCATCTAGGTTGAACTTGTCAAAAGATCCTTCACCTACGGGCGACAACCCTACATACCAGTAAACTGGGCAGGGATCCAGCGAGTGCATTTAGATTCACATAACCTTCCACAGGCTCTACCCATAGTCTTCATTGTAGTTCCTTTTTGGGGTTACCTTCTAGGTTTTTAGGATCCCTAATATAAAATAGGATAAAACCAAAAAAAAGGAACCACAATGGGGCCTATGGGTCTATCGCAACTGCTATGGCCCTATTCAACCCTAAACCCTAAACCCTAAACCCTAAACCCTAAACCCTAAAATCTAAACCCTAAACCCTAAACCCTAAACCTATACTTTTCGCCTCGGATCCATTCCGCTCCGTCTCAGCCCCAGTCCTGGTGGTCACAATCTGCACACGGGTAGTTCTCTAAGTCAGGGTCCCTTTTAGGGTCCTTTTTTCATAAGGGTGCCTGATTTCGATTGGGGATCAAAAAGGGGACCCGAATTTAGAGAACTATCCACATAGAAGCTGGCTCACACCTTAGGGCAAGCTGGAGTCTAGGATATGCAAGGCTGGGATGGGGGACATATGGTTCTTGCTTCAAAGGGGGTTTGCAGATTCTAAACCCCAAACATAAACAAAAGAACCTCTAAACAAAAAACCTCTAAGCCCTTAGACCCTTAAGCCCTAAATTCCTAGAGCCAAAGGCTCGGGTTGAAGACTTGCCGGCCTTCCCACCCTAATATAGGGGCCTAAATAATTACCGATATTATTTTTGGGGGGTTCCTTTTTATAAGTATGTAGTATAATGGGCCCCAAAACCCTATTCTAATTCTTAAGGCCCCTAAACCCTAAACCCTTATAGTAGCCCGCGTAGAACCCCTTAAGGAATCCTTTAAAGGAGCCCTATTTCGAATTATTAAGGCCCCCACCCTATTCTCATTTCTACGGCCCCTCTACGACTCGCATAGCCGACCCCCTGCGGTCCAGTTTGCCATCCTTGTTTGATGGCTTCCTCGCCCTTACCCAGTCGCCATAGTAGTTCCTTGTTGGGATTACCTTATAGGATTCTCAATATGAACCCCAAGAAGGAACTACTATGGGGCCTATGGGTAACTGCAGGATCCCTCATATTGAGAGTACGCAGCCCCGAAATCAAAGACCACAAAGCGGATTATGAATACGGGACCCGAATATATAGGCCCTCTAAGCTGTTGGATTCGTTAGATATTAAACAAGGACCCACCCCTAAACCCTAAACCCTAAACCCTTTTCGAGCCTTCTGGAGGTCATCGGCAATGTGTACAGCGAGCCCGTCGCGGTGCATCTCGGAGTGCACTGAGACGCCGTTGAGGCCGAAAGCCCTGATAAAGTTCAAAAGGTCCTACTCACCATACCCCTACGCCCTAAACCAGAAAGCTTAAACCCCGAAAACTCACACCTGCTCACAATAGCCTTGAACTTTAAACCCTAAACCCTAAACCCTAACCCAGATACCCGAAGCAGAGCTCGACATTTTTTCTGGCTGCAGCCGAAGCTTTGCAGACTGAAGCCCCCTGACCACCGTGGTCTTTAGGGGCTTTAGGGTTTAGGGTTTTAGGTCATATCACAATTCTTTAGGGTTGAGGGCTTAGGGTTTTAGGTCATATCACAATATACTATTATGTAATTAGAATATACTGTAGATAGAAGCAGTTTGGCCATTGGTGAACCGTTTGTGAAACTATTCTGTATTTAGGGACTACACCTTTTCTTCTACGGCTACAGACTTATATGCAATCCCCCAATAAAATGGGTTTTGTTTTTTGGGCAGATGTACCCTCTTTGCTAAATCAGTGTCCAACCACTGCTGCCGACACAACTTCCACTACGAGTGCCACTTCCATGAAGACAGCCAACACGACGACGATGATTATAAGTACTGCCTCTGCCACTTCCGCTAGCACTACGACGGCGGCGACTACTATTGCTACTGCTACTACTTGTACTACTGCTCTTGCTGTTAGTCCTTTTCGCTACTGTGTATAGGCGACAGCATCCGAGGCTCGGTTGTGGACTTCGGGACTCGGGGGTTGGTGTGTTAAGGACCCAGACCCTCCGCAAACGCGAATCGCTCAAACCCTGAAGCCTTAAACCCTAAAATTCCCAAAGCCTTCAAAACCCCGAAACCACGAACCCTAAGGTTGTGTCTTGCCTAATTTTGGGGCTCTCTAGACCCGTGAGCCGAGAAACCCAACAAGGCCGGGGAAACCCTAAACCCTAGGGCCTAAACCCTAAACTCTAAACCTTAAACCCCTAAACCCTAAACCCAAAACCCCTAAACCCCTAAACCCTAAACCCCTTAACCCTAAACCCCAAACCTCTTAAGGTCGGGTTCGATTTGCTTCGACACCGACTTCCCGCTGCTGACGCGCCATGTCGCTAGCGTCATTCGGCCATGCTCTGGTAAGCTGCAGGGTGACTTTGGGTTGGGGCTTTGGGGTTTAGGGGTTTAGGCATTTAAGGGTTTAGGGTTTAGGCATTTAAGGTTTAGGGGTTTAGGGTGTAGGGTTTAAGGGTTTAGGGTTTAGGGATTTAAAGTTTAGGGGTTTAGGGTTTAGGGTTTAAGGAATCATACTGGACAAGTCCCTGCAAGCCTATTTACAGTGATTTCCTTTCGCTGTGATGGTTCGTGCAAAGATAACAATTGCGTCAGGTGTGTTGCCAGACCCTAAACCCTAGACCCTAAACCCCAATCCCTAATCAGGGCTTTGTTTTGCATGCTGGCAGTTTCATGCGCAAGGCTTGCCAAGCCCAAAGCCAAAAAGCCTCAAACCCTAAACCCTAAACCCAAATCTTAAACCCCAAGCCCGAAACCGATCCTGGGCTACAGCCAGAGCGGATAAACACAGCGATAAATGACGAAGCCCTGGGCTCCCAGAGGTGCAGTCTTAAGTTTTTGAAAAATGCAAGCTTGTAGTGCTTTCAGTTACATGACTAGCTGACTGAGGCTGGCGGGATCACGGCTGCAATCCTTCAATGCCTTACTAGGTACAGGCTAGAGCGGGAGAGAGAGAGAGAGAGAGAGCGTGAGACAGAGACAGCAGAATGCATACATAGATCACCCTAAACCCTAAACCCTAAACCCCTAAACCGATCATCGCTTACCTGCCAAGGTGCTGCCCCGGAGCTGCGTGAGCTGATGCGGCTGCTTCAAAAGCAGATGGGAGACCTGGACCCGGGGTAGGGTTTAGTCTCCATTGTAGTTCCTCTTTGGGGATTAGGGTTTAGGGTTTAGGGTTAAGGGTTTAGGGTTTAGGGTTTAGGGACCTTATACGATCCTTAATATATAATTGGTTAAACCAAAAGGAACTACAATGGAGACTACAGGTATGTTGGGTGTAAAGGACTTAGGGCCTCGGGTCAAAGGAAGCTGACCTTTGTGAACAGGGGTTCCCAGCACGGCTGACTCTCAGCAGAGTTCCAGACAGTGATTTCCGAAACGAGAAGTGCAACGCAAGCAGCAACAGGTGCTCTTTGTGCTAACACACCACGCCATTTTGTGTGAATCTCTGAAATCGCAAACTGTAACTCCATTTGCAGCGCCTCGGTCCACGGTCCTGGTGTGCTCGGGCTGCTTTCTAAAAGCCCATGTTTTTGCTAGTTTCTGAAATCAAAGCCTCACCGCTGGAGGATGCTTCTACAGTTGCCCGCCTGGGCACCGTGGCGGCAGCCCTCAAGGCACCGGCTCTGCCACCGGGCCGCAAAGATAACAAAGGCTTACTGTCTGAATCATTTCAACTATTGTTAAGTGTTGTTGTTCGTGGTGGCGGTGCTGTCAATGTTGCTGCTCCTCCCCAGTGAAGCTTTTCTCGAAGAGTCAAGACCTTCCTGCGCATGCGAGATCCAAGGCACCATTACGGGCCCAAATAACTAGACTGCAAGGCCATGAGGCCCACGAAAAATAATTCCACGGTTACCGACTGGAGCCATGCAGCATTCAAGGTTTCGACACCCACCCGCACCACAGACTCGCGAGCAATACGATCTCTGCATGCTCCACATGTGATGCTTATATGGTCTACCCCATATCCCTATTCGAGTTAATGTAATAGTAGCCTTTGCATCACATACTGTTCTCGCCTCTAGTAAACTCTTGGTTGCCATAGTCATAGAAATCGTGCTTTGGCGAATCTGTTTATCATCGCAGCGAACTACCCATAGGCCCCATAGTAGTTCCTTTCTGGGGGTTACCTAATAGGAACCTAAATGTAAGCCACAAAAAAGGAACTACTATGGGGCCTCTGTATACCCTACAAGGGGCCCTGCGTCGAAGGCCCCAGAAATCATTAACCCGTGGGTTTCCTTAACCGTGAAAGGGGCTCCTTTAGGGTTTAGGGTTTAGGGTTTAGGGTTTAGGGTTTAGGGTCATGATTTTGAGTTTTTCTTAGAGATGTCCTTAGAACGGTAAGCCTTGCGTGGTGAATCTATAGGGCTTCGGGTTGAGGCATGTGAGCGTAGGGTATTAGCGAAGGGTTTGGGGGCATAGATGGGAATAGGGTATGGGGCCTGGTTTGGGAACAGGAGTGAAGTAGGTTGTATGTTCATCGTGATGTAGATGCCCTTCAGGAAAAGTCAGGGGAATCCCAGCTGTATAGTGTAGCTATCATATGCCACAGAACCCTCAGCCCCTATCCCGTGACCCTAAACCATACCCCAAGGACCCAATAATCAGGTACATTGGTTGAGGATAGTAGTTATTTAGGTTAATGTTTGGGAGAGTATATGATTATTAGGTACTTGGACCCTTAGGGATAGAACGGCCTGTATAGAAAGTCTGTGGGAAGCCATCCGCTCAAGACGTCCAGGGACAAGAAATCTTGCGAAAGGCCAGGTCTACACATTTCTTGTAGGACAACGGAGTTTCTTTACCCTTACCCTCAAAGGACTCATATATTCGGGCTTTTGGGCCCAAAGACCCTATTATGTAAGGCTTTTGGGCTATTTTGATGCTACGGGTTAGGGTTTAGGGCTGTGCGTTTTGGGATAAGGTATGGAACCATTGGCCCAAAGCAGCAAGGTCCTTTTGCAGTAAGGATCGCACACATAAGGGACCCCTGTTTTCTGATACTCCCATACGTCTCCACGGATGGCAAGCTCTGTATTGCGTCCTTCAAAGTCCGGCACTTATATGCGTTTCCCCATCCCTGATCCGAAGGATGCAAGCAGCCGCAGAAGAGGCAGTGGGTCGAAGGTGCTAGTCCACATAATGCAGAGTACTTAATGATTAGAATACGGTATTGGTGTATATCATAGGACAAATATTGAGGGACTACAAGGGGCGGTTATTACTAAGACTCAGTCTTTGGTATTAGAAGGTTCAGGGCCGGCGATGGCAGGTCTGCGTCCAAGACCCCTATATCAGAAAGTGCCGAACCCTAAACCATAAAACCTAAACCCTAAGCCCTAAACCCTAAACCCTAAACCCTGAGCTCTTGCCTGCAAACCCCAATGTGCAAGCATACTGCACACCCCCCAAGCTAAACAACAGCTATGAAGTGGCCTTGAACTAATATAGAGGCCTTAATAATCAATAGGCTTTGGGGGTCTATTATACTCTAGTTATAATAAGGAACCCCCAAAACCCCATTCTAATTAAGGCCATGACACTATACATCAGACCTCTTAGGGACTGTAGCGTGTTTGCTCAGATCGTAACCAGGGTTTAGGGTTTATGGTGCCCTTCATGTTGCATGACCCCAAGACCCCAAGCACGAAGTCGCCACGTCTGAAGCCCTAAGCCTAAGCCCTAAGCCCTAAGCCCTAACCCCTAAACCCTAAACCCTAAATCCAAAAGCCCTAACTCAGTGCAAAACAGAACGGAATCAGGACGGAGCTGCATGCTCCAATTATCCTAGGCCCTACGCCTTCCTGACCTGAAGCGACTCTAGGGGTTTAGAGTTTAGGGTTTGTTTTCGGTTTAGGGTGATTTGGTTTATAGGGTTTAGGGTTTGTTTAGGGTTTAGGGCTTATAGGGTTTATAGGGTTTAGGGTCTCGGGCTCCAGTCAATGTGGCTACTTTCCAACCTGGACTGCTGCCTGTTGCATTGAGGGACTGCCGCACCCCGTCAGCTTGGGCACATGGGGTTGATTACGAGGCCCTTCGCCTGTGTCGACCCACTTTGGGATCGCAGATGAGGACCTTTCTTCATGAGCCGCAGGGCGTCGCTGGATTTGACCATTCAGCGTGAAAGTTGATTGAAATCTCTGAACATCTCGGAACCGGTCCCATCATTGCGAATTGCTCCGAAGGAAATTCGTCTGGTGAAGCAAGAACTGTGTCGATTACTACATGGCCACACTTATGCACGAGCCATGCGGTGTCCTTTTGGCCCATCTATTTCGGCAGTTCCGTGTCATGTTCCCGTTGTACATCCTGCTCTTGTTTGGAATGCATACATGCGCTCCAAGCGCGGACAGCGTACGAATTAGGAATTCCATTTTCTCGGTAGTCCGACACTTTGTGTCGCCCTGCTAAGCATCTTAGCGTGCTTCTCGCGTGGATGGTCAGACCCGAAGCCCCGAGCAGGCCAGCCGAAGACCCTCCGACTTCGGGAACCAGGAGGCCAGCAGGGAGACCCCTTAAAGGGGACGATTTTTAGAGTTTAGGGGTTTAGGGGTTTCAGGGTTTAGGAGTTGAGGGGTTTCAGTGGTTTAGGGGTTTAGGATTTAGGGGTTTAGGGGTTTAGGGTTTAGGGTTTTAGGGTCTTACAGTTTAGGGTTTATAGGGTTTGGGGTAAAGGGGGCCCTTCTTAACCCTACTTCTGGCCCTCTTAAAAGGGGACCTTATTGAAAGTGTCTATATCCCCACGGGTACCCCTAATCCTAAGTCCTATCTCGGGTTTCTTCCAGGTTTTCTTCAATCTTCACCCATAGGCTCCATGGTAGTTCATTTGGGGTTTTATATTTAGGATTAGGATGCTAGCAGGTAATCCCAAAAAGGAACTACTATGGAGTCTTTGGGCAAGGCTTTCTTTAAGGGGTTCGTTTACGGTTTAAATTTAGAGTAAGGGCAAGTAAGTCCTAACGTGGGACCCTATACTATACTACAGGGTCTTGCCCAAGTGTTCCCTACTAGGATTCTTTTTCATGGCTCTTCCCTAAACCCTAAACCCTAAGCAGTAAATCGTAATTTGAAAGGATCCTTTAAACGAAGGATTCCTGCAAAGGGTCCTTTAAGGGAACTGTAAGGTTCTATTCTAGGGTTCTTTCTCATGGTATTATAGAGTTCCCTTTAAGGGTTGCTTCAAGCGTTCCTACGAGGATCCCTTCAACGTTTCCTGTTCTTCTTTTAGGCCGGGGATATCAGGTTTGAACAGGAGTGCGATAAAAAGACCTATATAGTACAGTAAAGTAGAGTATAAGCATAGTACCGACACCATCAGCACAATCATCTACTTCACAAGTGTATTGCCATGACTCATGGATGACCAGCACCATCTCTTCGATGCACGAAAGCCTCGAACCTGAACTGATTCAGAAGGCTCGCTGGTCCACGGTTTGTGGTTTCCAGCTGCAAAACCCGAAGACCTCAACGCTGAAGACACTGACCTGAAAACCCTCAACTCTAGAATCGATCAGACTGAGGTTCTGAGGGACGTTACAGTGTTAAGCACTGCATGAAGGAAGGGATCTATCCTGGGAGTGCAGTGCCGATCACTGAAGCTCCGGTTCTTGCATTTTTCCATGCGTCCTGACACCCTAGAGGCCCAAGAGCCTCAAATTCTGGGAGAGGCGGCTATGATCGCACGGGCCCTCGCCCTTTCCCAGCACAGCTCAGCCGTCGCGGCGCTGGTCGAAGGCGGGAGGGAACGGGACGTGGAATCGGGTTTGGGGCCGGGTGTAGAAACGGGTGCTAGTCGGGATTCCATACTTAGTTGTGCGGAAGTGCAGGCAGCAGACCCGGCAGCATCCAATAGACATTAAACCTTGAAGCCGCCAAGCCAAACCCTGCCTCCCGCCTTGTTGGGCTAAGTTGATTTCGAGTTCCAGCATCTAAAGCTCTAGTTTTTGGTCATGCAAGCCGCCAGAAGCTGCAATAAAGCCGAGGAATCTCACTCCCCAACTTCCTTGCAACTTTGCAGAGTTCAGACTGCGTTTGGTTCTGCTGGGCGTGGGATGCGCTGATTTTGAAGCCGGAATTTGGAATGGTAACTATATAGTCACCAATGCTCAAGTGTCAGGGCTCCTTGAAATCCCTTCTCCCTACTGTAGCATTAAACGGGGGCCCGCAACAAAGCCCGGAAAATGTGGTTCTTATCACGGGTCATTTTCACAGTACTGTTACTTTAGGTTTGGGGGTGCTTAGTGAATGGGGGAAGGGATTATAGCTATACGCACTCTCCTTTCCCCCCCAAACCCCAGTTTAATTACTACGGCCCCTATGTCGGGTCTTTATTCGAGGAAGCCACTCTGTGGAGTAGGCGCTTGCATCGTCGACGTGTGCAACATCGTTAGCTTAAGCCATGTTGCTCCCCTGTGCCAAACCCTAAACCCCAAACCCTAAACCCAAACCCCTTTGCAAAAATTATCCCGGCCTCGCCGCGAAGGCAATGTCCGGGCTCTAGGAAGCCGGCATGTAGCTTCCTCTGCCAAGTTCATCCCTTAGATCCTATATTTAACCCTAAACTGAACCCGACACCCTCGATCCCGTACTCTCACATCCCCGAAGCCCTCTCAGACAGGCGCCGTGCCGCGTGCGACGGCACTCGGCGCCCGCGCACTGGCGCCTTGGCATCGGAGGTGTTATAATGTTCCCTGGTAGTGCCCATATAGGTGCAGTAGCAGATTAGAAGATGCCCTAAAGCAAGCTCGGTTCTTATCCTGAAGGTCCCTACTTTAGGGCGACGAAGGCAAAGCTTGTTAAGACCAAACCCTAAACCGTTGGAGGAAACAACGGTAACGACGCTGCTGCTGCCGACGACCTTATGAGCCGCCATCACGATGGCGATAAGCATGACGATGGCTACTAGAATGAGGGGAGGTCATAACTAGAACGGGACTTTGTTGTTTATTAAACGTATTCGACGCTTTGCATGTATAACTATGTATATACCTTTCTAGATCATGAGCATACGGCTATGCAATGTAGAAAGTTATAGAGGTTATGCGATGAGTGTGTATTCAGACCCTCCAAAAGGATTGGTGGGCCTTGAGCAGATAGCGATGCACAAGACATGGAGGGCCATGAGAACAAAGGCAGTAGTAGTGTAGTAGTAGTAGTAGTAGTAGTAGTAGTAGTAGTAGTAGTAGTGGTTGTAGTAGTAGTAGTAGTAGAAGTAGAAGTAGAAGTAGAAGTAGAAGTAGAAGTAGAAGTAGAAGTAGAAGTAGAAGTAGAAGTAGAAGTAGTAGTCAGAATAATGATAGTCACTTAGTTTGTTAATGGCAAGCAAACTCAGCTGAAGAACTAGACCTGACCACCTGGGTGCCAAACCTAATCCCCGATACCTCTACGTATTGGCCAAACCCCTTGTAGATCCTAGAGATCCTGAACCTGAAACGTTACATGACGAAACCCGTAGAAACCCGACCAAAACCCTACAAAAGCCTAGGAAAGTCTTCCAACACCCAAGGAGATGCTTCAAAATTCCCTATGCGAGGTCCGTCTTGCTTGGGCCGGTGCAGCTGTGCGGTTGCCAGGCTGGGCTTGGGGTCTCTCGAGGGTTCAAGACTTTCCAGGGGCTCTTAGCTTGTTGTACTTCGGGGGTTTTCGGTTTTGAAGTTTTGCAGTCTTAGGAATTTGGGGTTTCGTGGTTTGGGGTTTTCGGATTTTAGGTTTCTATGAGTTGTAGTTCAGGACTTGCACAGAGCATAGGGCTACTACATCTTGTGACACTCGTATTCTTGAGATGATGTTGAAGTACGGTGCGACACATGGCGAAACCAAACACTGAATCAGCCGAGATCCGCAGGAAGCGAGTTGGAACCCATCCTCAATGAGGCGTCGACACGCGCAGAGCGACTGCAACCCAAGGTGCCTTGACATGCCTTGACATTACGAACCCCAGCCTCGCGATGATTTCTCAAAGGTGTAGGTAGAGCAAAGGGAGGTTGGATGTGGGACAACTTCGCGGTTAATGGGGTCAGATGGTGCCCTAATCAATGTGTATAGATTCAAGGTCTTTTCGGCATCTTCATATATGGGAGCCAACAACAGAGACTGGCATTGTTCCTATCTTTCTGCTTTCGGGTACAAGGCTCGAGTTGTCTCGCATTCCAGGACGTTCATGCTCGAAAGTCTCGAAGGTCATAGGGCTATGTTCGAAGAATGACAGCTGCAAGTTTTCTCACTTGGCAGTTCGAGAATTGTTCTAGAGTTATCAGGTTTGGTCGCTTCGAGAAGGGCAAATGTGCAGGAGTCAAGACTTCGACCGATCAAGCTTCCAAGGCTTAATACGTTAACCCCTGGCGATTGTTTCAAGCTTAACTTAACCTTCAAAGTTCGATCACTGGGAATTCGGCGGTTGTTGATGTTCGCGGGATTTAAAGTTTGATCGTTTGAGAGATTGAGAAAGTAAAAGAGATTGAAAGTTTTACAAGCTGACGGTTCAAGAGGTTGCCCGCTTGAGCGTGTGGGGCTTCGATCCAAGTCCTCTTTCATCTTGCGAGTCTTTCCGATCGACTGGAATGTGTGAGCTTGAATTTGTGAGGGGCACGAAATCGCTAGACTGGATTTGCCGACGTCAAAGACGGCACGAGTTCGAAAGATTCCGTGGGGGCTTAGAGTTCAGGCTTTAGAGCTCGGCGGGGTCAGCGGATCTCCTCTTGCAACCTCCGAACTCTCGACTTGCTCTCGCCGTCAAGCTCGAAACGTCAAGCCTTCGAAGTCCAGCTGTTCCCCTAAACCCCAACTGCCCTCTAGTATGCCCTGAATACACACTATGAAGCACCATAAGGGCTCTATGAACTCTACTATAGGGCACTTAGGAGGTCCTGGTCGTTCTCGAAACTGTTGAGCTTTCAGGCTCCTCACGCGCGTGCTGGGGGGGAATTGCGTTGACAGCTTTGTTCCATGTAAGGACGACGTCGATTCGATGTCCAAAGCCCTAAACTCCACACTCTAAACTCGCCAACGCTAAGCCCTTGACCAAAGCGCCTGTCGTTGGTACATCGGGATCAGACCGTTACCTTACAGTAGCTATCTGCCGAGGTCACACGAGCAGGTCCGAATTCGAGTTTAGCTTAACCCTCCAGGTACCTACTATAGAGGGTACTAGAGCCCCTAGGGCCCTTTGTAGTAGGCACCGGGAGGGTTAGGGTTAGCTTGTGGTGTCTCGGGCTTCATGGTGACCCCCCAGCCCTGATGCAGCGGCGGTCGCCTTCTGAGTTTCTTTGAGGAACTTAGGATCTGAGAGACTCAGGACATATAGGGTTTAGGGTTTAGGGTTTAGGGTTTAGGGTTTAGGGTTTAGGGTTTAGGGTTTAGGGGGGCTTTGGATCATAAGAAACCTGGGTTTAGGGTTTAGGGGTTTAGGGTTCTCTATCCCTGATTTTTTCCCAAATCCTGTTCTTCTTCCGCATGTCCTGAAACCCGACACCCCCCAAACCCGTAGACCGAAACCCTTGCCAATCCAAGGTCTCCTGAGCCCATCTTTTGCTTCGCGCCACATCCCCTAACCACTCCTAACGCCTAGCTTGAAACCCCAAGCCCCCCAAACCCTAAATATCCTGAACCCTCAGAGCCCTCAAACCCATCCCTTATGGAACGTTCAAAGAACCCTGATGGAAAGACGAAGAAGCCTGACCAGTTACCAGTCTTACGCCATAGGGCTCCTTATTGCAACTATACCAGAATCTACCCCAAAAGCCTATTGTAATTCGAAAGGCCCCCGAAAATGTAAAGCCCTTCTAGTAACCCTCATGGATCCCTTTAGAGAAACCCTATTCTACTTACTACGGCACCCATCTTACATCCTAATCGTAATTCCCAGTGCCTCAACCCTGGACCCCTATAAGGCCCTAAACCCCCCAAACCCTAAACCCGAAACCCTAACCCCTAAAACAAAAAAACAGCTACACCCCACGTCTCCGGAGGCCATGGCGAATTTGCTTTGGGCCATGGCTGCCGTCCGAAGGCCCGGCAAAGCAGGGCCAAGAAGTTTCAGGGGCCTTAAAAGTTAGAATAGGGTTTAGGCTCCTTTAAAGGGTTCGTTAAAGGGTTCTATAAGGGTTTTACCAACCGGCTTTAGGGTTTAGGGGCCTTAATAATTAGAAAAGGGTTTAGGGCTCCTTTAAAGGGTTCGTTAAAGGGTTCTATAAGGCTTTTACCAAAAGGGTTTAGGGTTTAGGGGCCTTAATAATTAGAATAGGGTTTAGGGCTTCTTTAAAGGGTTCGTTAAAGAGTTCTGTAAGGCTTTTACTATAAGGGTTTAGGGTTTAGGGGCCTGGATAATTAGAATAGGGTTTGGGGCTCCTTTAAAGGGTTCGTTAAAGAGTTCTATAAGGGTTTTCCTATAAAGGGTTTAGGGTTTAGGGGCCTGAGTAATTAGAATAGGGTTTGGGGGTATGTTATACTATACTTGCAAGAAGGAACCCCCAAAACCCTATGCTATCCGTTCTTCTGAAACTTTTGGGTTTAGGGTTTAGGGTGTAGGGTAACAAGGAGTCCCTGTTGGCACTTTAAGGGAGAGAGCTGTGTGTTAATCAATTACTGATTCAGGAGAGGGACCGCGTCTGCAAGACAAGGGGTCTGTGCGGGTTCTACATGGGCTCAAACAAGGACGGCTCTATAGGATATATATATATATATATATATATATTAATATATATCGATTTGCTTTCAGAGTTTGGGGAGTAAGGGTTTTAGGATTCGGGCTGTTGTTTTAGGTTTCGGGCTCGAGGGTGGATATAGTTTAGTTTTGTTTGTAGGGGCTGCGGGCCCCACAGCCGACGATGTACTCATCCGGCTCTTCATCTACCTCCAGCCCACTTCTCGAAACCCTGAACCCTAGTTACGGCGCACGGTTTAGGATTTTCCACGTTTGTGGGACATCTTGCGATACCTGTACAAAAGGAGCTGGACCAAGCAGCATGACCATCCTATTTAGAAGGCTCATCGGAATGAACTGAAGTTGTCGCTGTTAAAGTTGCTATTGTTCCCATTATGACTTTTCTTGGTAGCAGTATCACTATTATTCCTTCCGTTTTGTTATCATCACTACTCGTAGCTGACTAATTCTTCTTCTTCTTCTTCATGAATACCATCGTCGTTGCCGTCGACGTCGTCCTGAAAATATTGACATGATATCACCATTGGCACCATCCGCACTGCGCCATCATCACCACCACCACCACCACGCCGTTCCCACGCTCATCATGATAGACGCTGGGCTTAACCCTCTAACCCTACACCCTCTAAACCCAGAATCTAACATAGGCGCCTTCATGATTACCTATACTATTTTGGGGTTTCCTCATTATAATTATAGTTATAGTAGAAGAGGTCCCAAAACTCTATTCTAAATCTTACGTAAGGCCCCTAAACCCCAAACTTTGCTAAACCCTTATAGAACCCTTTAAGGAACCCTTTAAAGGGTCCCCAAAACCCTATTCTAATGATTAAGGCCACTACCAAAGAATCCGAAGGGTTGCACGCGCCAGCAAGCCTCGCAGGCGGCTCCCAGCCTGCAAACCGCTAGGGAAGACTAGGTTCCTTTTTAAGTATCTAAGGTCGAATATGGGCCCTTAACCCGGGGACCCTAACATACCTACTATATACCCCATATATACCCTTAAGGGGCCCTAGAATCCCCTAAGGGCCCATGTTAGGGGCCCATGGGTTCTACCTTAGAAAGTAACTTGATTTGAGGTTTCCTTTAAGGTTCTAGAAGGTTTTAGGGTTTAGGAGTTTAACTTCAGGTACCACCTGCATAAAGCCATAAGCCCTCAGACCGATAACCCCTCAAGCCTCAAGCCCAGATTTCATATCTGAAACTCTAAACGGTAAATCCGCTAAACCCGAATTAAGCCTAAACCCTAAACCCTAAACCGTCGGCCAAGGAGGCAAGATGCCGCCATGCTCTCCCTGCTACCACATGTGGTGGATCGGTCGGGGCGTCGCGTTTGAATGAGTCCTGCCGGCTTAAGGGAGCTGTTTTGCGTGTGTCCGCGTGTCTTCAAGAGTTTTTATCAGGATTTTTTGAGAGCTCTACAGGCTTTTTTCAGGATTCTAGAGGGGTTCTGGTCGGCGTTCCTGAAGGATTTACAGTCCCAGGGGCCAGACTTGGCTTAGGTGGCGAGACATATCAAGCCTACTTCTAGTCTCCATTGTAGTTCCTTTTTGTGGCTTAGCAAATTATACATTTAGGATCTTCTAAGGTAGCCCCAAAAAGGAACTACAATGCAAACTATGGGTAATCCGAGAACCATACCCCTCACATCGCTGTGGACTTCGCCGTTGAGGCTTGTAGTCTTAGATGCAGTCCCACATTGTGGCCAGGTAGGGCTTAGGATGTTGTTGAGGGGTTTGCGGTTTATAGGGTTTTCAGGGCTTATAGGGTTTAGGCCTAAACCCTAAACCCTAAACCCTCAACCCTAGTGTGGTGGTGTAGGGCTGGTTGGGGGCAAGGGCTTAGGTAGCTAATGCCCTAAACCCTAAACCCTAAACCCTAAACCTATTGTTTGTGAGGTTGTTCGAACTTAGTACGATGACAGTGTCAACAGGCGCTAACATGTGTAGGGTTTAGGGTTTAGGGTATACATCCTGCGTGCTCATCATATAATTCTATGAAATCGTGGTCTTCCCCCCCGTTCCTGATCAAACTTTGCAGTTATTTATGGAATCAATGATATAATCCGTTTAAGATAGATACACATAGAAATACCGTAATGCCTGTGGCAATAATATTCTTATCTGAACCATAATGTTGACTACACCCGTCCCTAACCCCCGAACTCTACGCCCCAAATCGAGGAGTGTACAGGCTATACAAATTTAAGAGCCAAAACCCTAACCCTAACGCACACACACACCCT